TTATTGTAGGGTTGGAGCCTGCCGATGGGGCTTTGTTATTGTAGGTTGGAGCATGGACATGGGGCTTTGTTATTGTACCGTGGCTCATGACAGCTGAGTCGCTGCTGCCCTTGATTTATTTTTATATACGCACTTTATTTTGAAGTAGCCAAGCTCTGAAGTATTTGTCTGAGGTGTTTTTTGAGGTTTGGGCCATTTTGTTGTGCAGGTCCAAACAACTGTTCCCCAGGGCTGATCCGCTGTCAGTTTATGCATCTTGAATGAAATGGCACAGCATTAGCATGCCGACATGCTCCTGTACTGGCCATGACCAGCTAACATATTTCCAAACGCAACTTGCTGGGTCTCATTGTGTCGTGGGAGCCCCTCCCAGTCCTCCGTGTTCTGACCCCGCAAATGCTTTTGAGCATCAAAAAAAGTTCAATTATAAATTCTTTAAAATAATAAAGGGGGACCCTGCAGAACTGCGGTATGTCACCTACCACTTACATCAGCTTCTGGACCACATGACTGGAGGATAGCAAATGTGATGCCAATTTTTTAAAAAGGCTCCAGTGGCGATCCTGGCAATTACAGGCCAGTAAGCCTAACGTCAGTACCAGCAAATTGGTTGAAACTAAGGTAAAGAACAGAATTGTTGGACACAGAGATGAACACAATTTGCTGGGGAAGAGTCAACACGGCTTTTGTAAAGGGAAATCACACCTCACCAATCTACTAGAATTCTTTGAGGGGCTCAATAAACATGTGGACAAGAGCAATCCAGTGGATATAGTGTACTTGGACTTTCAGAAAGCCTTTGACAAGGTCCCTCGTCAAAGGCTCTTAAGCAAAGTAAGGGGTCATGGGATAAGAGGGAAAGTGCTCCCGTGAACTGGTTAGAAGATAGGAAACCAAGCGTAGGAATAAGTGGTCATTTTCAGAATGGAGAGAGGTAAATAGTGGTGTTTCCCAGGAATCTGTACTGGTGCCTGTGCTGTTCAACGTATTCCTAAATGATCTGGGGAAAGCTGTACATAGTGAGGTGGCAAAGTTTGCAGATGATCACGATCTTGACTAATTTTGTAAACCCAAAGCTGACTGCGAAGAGTTACAAAGGGATCTCACTAAACTAGGTGACTGGGCAACAAAATGGCAGATGAAATTCAATGTTGATAAATGTAAAGTAACGCACATTGGAAAACATAATCCCAACTATACCTACAAAATGATGGCGTCTAAATTAGCTGTCACCACTCAGGAAAGAGATCTTGGCGTCATCATTGATCGTTTTCTGAAAACATCTGCTCAATGTGCAGTGGCTGTCAAAAAAGCGAACAGACTGGTAGGAACCAGTAGGAAAGGGATAGATAATAAAGCAGAATGATCATAATGCCACTACATAAATCCATGGCACACCCACATCTTGAATACTGTGTGCAGTTCTGGTCGCCCCAACTCAAAAAAGATGTATTAGAAATGGAAAAGGTGCAGAGAAGGGCAACAAAAATGATTAGGGGTGTGGAGCAGCTTCCATAGGAGGAGAGATTAAAAAGTCTGGGACTGTTCATCTTAAAAAAAGAGACAGCTAAGGGGGGATAAACTAGAGGTTTCTAAAATCCGGAATGGTGTGGACACAGTGAATAAGGAAGTGTTATTTACCCCTTCACATAACACAAGAATCAGGGGTCACCCAATGAAATTAATAGGCATTAGGCTTAAAACAAACAAAAAGAAGTATTTCTTCGCACAACGCACAGTCAATCTGTGGAACTTGTTGCCAGGGGAGGTTACAAAGGCCAAAACTATACCTGGGTTCAAAAATGAATTAGATATGTGCATGGAGGTTAGGTCCATCAATGGCTATTAACCAAGACAGGCAGGGTGTCCCTAAACCTCTGACTGCCAGATGCTGGAACTGGGCAACAGAGGATGGATCACCTGATGATTGCCCTGTACTGTTAATTCCCTTGGACAGGGCTGCCCGGGGGAGGAGGGGGCAAGTGGGGCAATTTGCCCCAGGCCCTGGGCCCCGCAGGGGACCTGCGAGCCCTGGCCGAGAATCCCTTTCCTCACCCGGCAGCGGTCCGGGTCTTCGGCGGCATTTCGGCGGTGGGGGGCCTTTCAGTGCTGCCAAAGATGCAGAGCGACTGAAGGATGCCCCGCCGCCGAAATGCCGCCGCCACCGCAGACTCGGAGCACTGCCTGGTGAGTACAAGCTCCCCCGCTTTGCCCCAGGCCCCCTGAATCCTCTGGGCGGCCCTGCCCTTGGAAGCATCTGGCATTGGCCACTGTCGGAAGACAAAGAGTCCTGTGGCACCTTATAGACTAACAGATGTTTTGGAATCTATAAGGTGCCCCAGGACTCTTTGTCGCTTTTCACAGATCCAGACTAACACGGCTACCCCTCTGATTCTTGTCGGAGACAGGATACTGGGCTAGATGGGCCGTTGGTCTGACCCAGTGCGGCCGTTCTTATGGTCTTAGTAACAATTTCCCTGCTCACTGCAGTTCTGGGATTTGGCTGGAGCAAGGCCCAGAACCAGCCCAGTGAGGAGCTGCCCACATGGGGGCTTCGTACCCCACAATTCCTGGAAAGCCTGGGCTAGACAGCAGTCTGGGCCCGATTCCCTGCTCTGGCTGAGATCCATTCACCACTGGCATCAGGGACAGGGGCAGAGGTGGGTTTACACCATTTTTGTCCCTTCCCGCATAGTTTACAGCAGCCTTGAGGCTACTCTAACTTACACACTGAACAGCCACCAGGGCTTCCCTGCAGTGATGTGGAGCACAAGTGTGGCCCTGGGCCTGAGGGGCGTGGCCAGGGCCAAGGGGGCATGGCTAGTGCACCACTAACTAATCTGGCCGGCTGTTTGACTAGTTTTTCATGATGGCCATGCCCACTCCACCTTGAACACATCCCCTGTGTCAGGAGCTTCAAGGGGTTAGCAGCTCAAGCAATGCCCTCTGCCAGGAGAGATCTCTCAGGGTTATGGTCCCTTTTCTTTGCAACAGCAGCATCAAAGGGGCGGTAGGGCAAGTGAGAATCAAGCCTCTGGATCACGGAAGGCTTTAAACAAACCGCCACTTGCTGAGATGTGCCCGTTCCGAGCAAAAACCAACCAGACTGCTCGGCAAAACAGCACGGGAGGGTCCTTTGCCTATTACCATAGAGATTGCTTAGGGTTGTTGGATTGCAGTCGGAGCACAGATGTACCGAGGCTGGGTCCGTGCTCGGGAATCTTAGCCAAAATGTTCCCCCTTCATCTTTCTGCTGCGTAAGAAGGGCTGGGCACAGGGCGAACTTGGTAACGAAATAACCCCTATTTCTTCTATGGTGCTTTTCATCACTGGAATTCAAACACGTCACACTCTTTAATGGGTTTATCCTCGACCCCCTGGGAGGCAGTGCTGTCTTCCCTGTTGATCAGCGGGGGAACCGAGGCATGGAGAGGCCATGTGACTTGCTCAGGGGTCAGAGGAGGACAGAAGAGGGAATTAAATCCAGGGCTCCCACAGCCTAGGTCAATACTTAAACCATTAGATCATCATCATCCTTCCTTGTCTATACAGAGAAACTGACTGGAGCTCCTCCTGTGGATACTCAATTCCAGACCAGGTCACTTTATTCTGCAGGTATTAGGGTGCTTCTAATGCAGAGTCACGCTGGAATGGTCACCTTTATTCCAGGCAATTTTAAATTATTTGTATGATCACAGCACCCAGGACCCCACCGTGCCAGGCGCTGTACAGCCACAGAATGAAAAGACAGTCCCTGCCCCAAAATCTTACAATCTAAAGCATCCACACGGGGCATTGAGTTTCCCTAGTGTTATAGGGGGCTTGGAGTCAGTCTAGAGCAGGCCATGAAATAAATCTCCCCTACTGGGTGCTGATCGCCATTTCCCTGCTGCCGCCAAACTTTATTCACATTCGGGATAAAACAGGTACAAACCCAGACAGATGCCTCAGGATCGCTCCCCCATGAGGCACAAAGGTTCTGGACTGAGGATTCTGGGGGGCAGGGTGGGCATTGCAACAGGTGCTGTACAAAGGAGTAATCCGTTCAGTTCAGGGACGGTTGAAGTGTGCCACGGTGTAAGGAAATGACAGAGCCCTTGGGCATCTCAGGGGTGGGGACGACCCACACACAGTACGGTTCTGTGCTCTGTCCTCTGTGTCCAGAGAGCTTGGATCAGTGTCTCTACAAATTGCAGAGCAGGGGGTATGACAAGGCTAAGAGAGGGTTATGGAAAACAGCAGTGTCATGGGGGGGGGGGGGGAGGAGGTGTGTGGGTGTGTGTGGGTGTGTGTGTGTGTGTCCACTGCTGCCCTCCACTGGATGGAATTTGAACTGCATCGCTGGGTGTCATAAGCCCTAAGCTACCAGCAGCTGAAGGAGATTCTCCTGCAGATCCGGAGGTAGGGGACTGCATGCGGGAGGGTGTGAGTCCTATCCCTGCTGCTGTGAAATGTATAGCGGTTCTGCCGTGACTCCAATTTACACTAGAGATGGGGGATGAGGGAGACCTCCCCACATAAAGGGTGACAGCTGGTGACGTTCCTGGGTCCTCTTCTTCTCGGTCTATGAAGGGCAGCCGTTTGTCACCATGTGCTGGGCAAACGCCTCCAGCCCCTTGCAGAGGGCCTGGAAATGTCCCTGCTGGCATTCCAGGGGGTTTGGCCACAGCTCCACCCAGGAGCCACTCCCGAGCAAGTACGCTATCCTGGGAAAGAGAGCAGGAGGAAACATTAACACAGCCCTTGGGGGGATGAGGGGGGGACCCCGCATGTCCAGGGTACAGCCTGGCACAGATCACAGGGCACTAAGGAGAACCACCCCCCATTGTTAGTATGGAAGCACTTGGCTCAGGGCCCCGCTGTGGCTGGCTGCATCCCTGCCCGAAACAGCTCAGGAACTGAGGCACAGAGATGACATGACTTACCCAAGATCACATGGGGTCAGTGGCAGAGCTGGGAATTGAACCCACTTCTCCTGAGTCCCAGCCTAGTGCATTACCCACCAACCCACCCTCCTCATAATCCCCCTGCCTCTCCAGGAGCCTGCTGGAGACTCACTCAGTCTTCAGGTCCCACAGGTCACTGCTGAGGCCCCAGATCAAGTAGCTCCTGTTCTCCAGCAGGTTCAGGGTCGCCTTGCAAGCCACTGGGCTGATAAATCGACGGGTCTTCCCCTGGATGCTTTGCTCTGTCCCTTTAAAAAATAAAAAAAAAAGCCAGCGATGCCCTATGAGCACGGGGAACAGAATGATCGCTGGTGACAGATCAGCGAACAGGAGCCAGACCCATTGCAGAAGAGTCTGATCTCAGTTAAACAGGTGCCAATCCAGAGTGACTCTTGATTTCAAAGGGGTCTCTTTTAGTTTGACATGTGCTCAGCATCTGTCTCCATGGGGTCTCTCTGGATTGACATTTGGAAGATAGGTCCATCAATGGCTGTTAGCCAAGATGGTCAGGGATACAACCCCATGCTCTGGGTGTGCCTAGCCTCTGACTGCCAGAAGCTGGGAGTGGACAAAAGGGGATGGATCACTCGATGATTCATTCCTTCTGAAGCACCTGACATTGGCCACTGTTGGAAGAGAGGATATTGGGCTAGATGGACCATTGGTCTAACCCAGTACGGCTCAGTTCTTATGACATCAGGCCAGGTGAGCTCAAAATCCCTGTCAATAGACTCACTCTGGATTTATGCTGGTGTAAATCAGATCAGTATCTGGCCTCCTGTGTCTTGTTGGAAAAGGACTCCCATGGTCACAAGACATGGAATCACAGTCCTTTAAATAGGGGGCGTTTATTAAAGGAAACAATCACAGGCTCTAAAAAGCTGGCTTCCACAGAGCTTGACACGCAGCTTTGTCTCTCTTGTTTACCAGGGACCACATGCTGTCTGGGACTCTTCAGTGCACAGCGACAGCAAGCGACTGAAATATATACGGCAAGTAAACATGCTGCAGGTTTGAAATTTAGTCTGGGATTTTCAAAAGAGCCAAAGGGATTTAGGAGCCCAAATCACACTGAATTGAGTGTCTAACTCTCCTAGTCATCTTTGAAAACATGCAGCTAAATGGGATGAAAGAAGCAGCCAGTTCAGAGCCTGCATCACAAAGGAGGCTGGCTGCCTCTCAGGCAGGGGTAACGCTGATCAACATTTTTTGAACAGAACATTTTTCTGTCGCAAAATACCGTTTTGTAGAAATCAGGAGGAACGTATTGATTCGGACAAAACTTTGTTTTAAAAAAAATTGAAAAAAGCCTTTTGATGCAGCCAATATCCTCCACTTTGACCATCGGAGACTGGAATATTGAGGTTTTTTGGTTAGAAAATGATTTTATTTTCTACTAGAACACTTGGAAAAGTCGAGATCAGAATGGAAGAGTTTGAGTTGATCACAAAGGAACGTTTCTGCTGACCCGCAGGAAGTTTCGATTTTTGGCTTTGTTCTGATCTAGAACAAAGACAGCGTTTGGAAACGTTGGCCTCTCCCGCGGCGCCTCTGGTAGGCTCAGGGTGCGGGGAGCGGTTATGAGACGACCAAGGTTGAAGCCACCGGGGGGGGATGCGGGGGCAGTGCCCACCCTGGAGATAACTGGACCATTGATCAGTCTGGAGCGTTTTCTAGCTGCACACCTCAGTGTGACGTGCTCTCGGGGACAAGCAAGGCCGTTTTTCACAACATCTCTGATGACATGATGGGCGCTGGCAGAGCTGAAGGGGGGAACACAGGGCTGGAATGGCAGGGGGGCTGTGGGATGGGATTAAGGTGCATCAGCAGAGCTAGCTACAGGGAAGCCGAGGTGTGGCATGGCCAGTACTGGGTTTACAATGACGCTGGGCTCACACTCAGAGGGGGCCCTGGTGCCCGGCCCATGGCCCCGCCCCCTGTGGCCCCACCCACCACTTGCTCCTCTCCGCCCCCTCCCCTGTGCAAGTGGTGGGCGGGGCCTTGGAGGGAAGAGATCGCGCAGGGGTGGGGCCTCAGGGCAGAGCATGGGAGGGGTCTCAGTGGGAAGGAGCCGAGCGGGGGCGGAGCCTCAGGATGGAGCAGGGGACAGGGCCAAGGTCTGGGTGCCGGGGCCCACAAAAGATTAATCCGGCCCTGGGGATAGCAAGCAGGGGGTCTAAGGGACATGACTGAAGGTGAAAGGGGAACCCAGGGCTGGGCTAGCAGGGGGCTGTGGGTCAGGATGGAGGGGCACTGGCAGAGCTGGAGTGGGGGGAAGCCCAGGGCTGGGATTGCAGGGGGCTGTGGGTCAGGATG